CTTTTTTTCTGTTCAGATAGAGTTTCTGAGGTACTGGACCTCTACACTCAGCGGGTTCGGAGGGTGCAGGTAAGGAATCCTCGCGCGGAGGCGGGGGAGCGACTGCCAGGGCCCGGCTTCCCGCCCCGCGCTTCTGTGCCCAGGACACCCCGCTCGGGCGGGAGAGCCTGATGGGCGAAGCTTTGCAGGTGCCTCCCGGTACTGTCTCTCCCGGTGCCGCAAGTCACATTCAGAGCAGTAGTACGCATGCAGTAGTCTTGGAGGTGGATGACTTTACAAAGATCGCGGAGATCGGCGAGCATCCGCTGCCACCGTATCCTATCCAGGAGCCAGTGCACACGACACGAAGGCATCGCTGTGCCCGGCAGCAGATGGATGCGAGTTGGGAACTTCCGCCTGAGGAGATCTCGGAGCAGGTGTTCATAGTGGGAGGCCACCAGTCTCTGTCTCGCATGGCCTGGGCCCCAGCCTTGAACATGAACTGCCTGCGGCTGACCTTGGCATTTTGCAGGTGGAAAAGTATCTCGGCGAGACCCTCAACAAGCAGTACCGGGCGCTGCACCCAGGAGTGCCAGGGCAGGATGAGCAGCATGCGCCACAGGGTAAGATGAATGCCGCTATCATTGTGCGCGAGCCCCCGTGCGGTCGTGCATGTATCCAGGTCAGCAACTGGAATTTCCGTCCATTGAGCACCTCACAGGCCGGCGCCCGTCACTGCTCCCGCATTTCTGATCTCGCCCATTGACAAGCAGCATGGCTTTACTCCGAGAAGGCCTTTTTTCCTTGCTCTCGAGGTCATCTATGCTGCAACAGACGCACACATCCTTCTGCGGCTGGAATCTGCCCTGCGAGAGCAGCAAGTCAACAGCCGAGAGGGAAGCACAAGTCTGAGTGTAGCGGTCTCGAGGGGACCGCTGGGCGTGTTTGCGCTGAGGTGTTGCCGCAGCGCATCTGGGGTGTGTCTGCGCGGGCACGGTGCCCGGTACAGAAGTTGCTTCTAGACTGCGGCATGCACAGATTGGTCAAAAGACTTACCCGCAGAGGACTCAACTCAGCCGGCCTGGTGGCGGGACAGCGCTCGGACTCCAGCAGCAGAAAACCGGATATCGTGCGTCGTAGGGTGCGCATACCCAGCAATGCATTAACCGTCTGTCGATGCAGGGTGTAGACCAAGCTTTGGACAGCTTTTGTGTTGCGGCTCTGATGCTGTGGAGCATGTCCCAGATGCTCAGCCGACTCAGCTTTGAGCTATGAATACCTCCTCGGACTGCACGAGTAGAGAGACCGACCTTCTTCGTGTGGGCCTTTGTGCCTCAATATCTCAGTCCTCAGCAATAACGGCCAACCTACAGAACTAGAACACATCCCAGAAGTGCTTTCTTGCTCTCGGGCCGGCCATGGCTTTTGACATAGACAATGCTGGAGGCACGGTGATGACGGTCCGGGCAACCAGCTGGCAAGCTGCCTGGCCAGGTCTACCACCAGCGAGGCAGAAATCGCAGGATGACGTGGACGACGTCAAAGTCAGCCAGGCCTGACACGCTTCTGCTTCGGTGCAGCTAACATCGCATTCAAGGTCTGAGCGTCTGCGTCTGAGCTCATGAGGACCTTGGAGGGTCAGCTCGCTTTCTCAGGCACAGCAGCCATTCGACAAGTACGACGTGGCTGAGCGATGCAAGGAGCTGATGAGACGAGCATCCAACATGCTGACGCCTGAGATGTTGACGTTTCAAGCGAATCTGCGACAGTGGGAGCAGATTCTGCAAGCATGCGTCCTCGGCCGGCCGTAGGAGATTCGGCATAGTCGTACAAGGAGGTAGACAGATCCGAGCGTCCCTAGGCCCTAGGCGCATCAGCTAGGATGCGCTTCGCGATAAGAGTGCAAAGCCTCTTCAGAGATTGAGTGGGGGAGATGTGTAGGGGGAGTATTCCAATCTCATTGCTATGCCCGGTCCATGTAAGGTCAACACCTTCAAGTGCCAAGCTTGGTGGGAGTGCCAGCGTCAGTGAGGGAAAGGAGCTGCGCGATATGCAGGCTTGAAGTGGGACATCCTTGAGCTGATGGAGGAGTCTTCATGCGACTTGTTGTGCGTACTAGAATCACTTGAATGCAGCAGCGCTCTACAGGAGTCTCACCACCAATTACGAGAGATTCGAAGGGTCGACTCCTGAGCCTGAGCCTGCGTCGAACTATCGTTCCCAAATGTCTGTAGCCTCTCTGGCGAGGCGCACTCTGAACCCGAGAGGGGCCTTTGGCAGGCCAGAGATGGATCTTCCTTGGCTGCAGCTGGAATCGGATTGAATCTGGCCGACAGGAAATCCAGAATGCGATATCTAATGAGCACACCGCCAGCACGCTTCCAGCAGCCCAGCCGCAGAGAGCGCTGTAACCGTGCTTGGTTGATTTATTCTTCGCGACGGCCCCTGCAAGACTGTGGCGTAAAGGTGAGTTTGCGGAAGCAATGCGACGAAATCCTCGACCGACGAACTGTCGTCAGCTGCTCAGCCAGAGATTGTGAAAGAGTGGAGCACACTCACTACCGTGGTGGGCTTAGCTCCACTCATTTGGCATTCCGTCACTGCCTTTGCTCAAACTTCCAGTATCTCAGCTGTCTTGACGCTCTAAAGCCTCACCGGAGAACAACCCCCATGCCACTGCTATTGGACAGCCCGAGCTGCCGAAATCCAGTAACGTTCCAGGACACTGACTGTGATGAAAATGTCATGACGAATGGCCATTCCGGTGGGGTGACGATGGGTGTGATGATAGCGGGGTGGCGGCGACGGAGGCGGTGGTGATATGCACAATCCAGCAATTAGCACGAAGGCGATGATGCTTGATGCTGGTGCTTGCGGCGGTTGAAAATCAAACTAATTGAACTGTGTTGATGTTGCAACATGGTGGGGCCTTGGTCAGCCGATGTCAGCCAATCGCAGATGTATTTGCAATCACACCTACTAAGCTCAACAAGCTCCACTACAAAGTACTATGCCAGATTTGTAAGAAAAAGAGCGCTTTTTGCCACACATTTTTAGAACCATCGGATGCAGATTGCTACAATGAATAGCTGTCCATATTTGTCTGCATGGGCCTACGAGTCTGCGCCCAAAATTCTAGCACCGTCCCAGAAGATAATTTCTGCCCGAGTTTTTTTCTAGGACATACCCAGAGACATGCAGATTCGTCGAAGCATATAGCTAGCTTCCTGGCCACCCTCGGATACATTGGGCCGAACTCAGGATGACTCCAGAGACAACATATATTGGCCGCGAATTCTCCTATCCAGCGATCGCATCAAATCCGTCATGAAATTTATAATATTTATAATCATCCAACAGAAAGAGAGGTGGCTGAATCACATTCCAATTGTTTAGGCAATACAGACCTTTGGCGCGCACTTCACCCTGTCGCTCAAGATACCAAGTCATGGGCCCGACTAGAGGGTTGACGTTGAGCAGCTGAAAGGGCTGCAGACTTGTGGACTTGCTCTGGGCGACTGAATGAGTGAGAGAGGAATCGGAAAGCACCTTTTTGGAGCCCCCAATGCGGCCAGTGGCTCGGCGACTTCAACACCGAGCTCGCCGCTATTCTGGCCCGTGGCCAAGAGGCGCATCGTGAGCCGAAAGTACGGACAGTGCAAAAAGGGTGATCCAAATTGGACGGGTTTACATTTACGACTTCTAGAGGTTGTATTGCAGCTATTGAACATAGGTCCATGTGGAATAGTCACCACGAGCTTACACCATTCGCACGCCACGACATCAACTGGTCCGTTTGCCCCACCCGCGCTCGGAAGTGCCAGGTGCGCGAGCGGCTTTTGTTTGAGGACGTCGACCGCGCCGGCTGGTTCAGTGCGGCCGGGATCAGTGCGTTGGAGGCCGCGGCCCGCAAAGCCCTGCCGAGCTGATCCAAACTGGCCTCAGGTTCAGCGCCTCCTAGAACGGCATGCCGAGATGCATCAGGCCTGGCAGTCGTTCCCCGAGACACCTTGCAAGCCTTGCCAAGCCATCTCTGCCCAGCGCGCTGCTCGATTCTCTCGGCAGCTGAAGCTCCTCAGCCCGAGCCTTGGCGTCGGTTTCCTTCGCTCCTGCCCTTCAGTGCGCGAAAAACAAAGGCCGCGGGCTTCAGCAACAGGGTGCGCTGTCCTCCCGCCGTCGTGCATTCCAGGTCACTTTCTGCAACTCTTGCAGTTCCTGACGTCTGCAGCTTTCTCTGCAGGCGAAGACAGTCGGCGAAAAGCTTCAGTCATCGCTTGTCTGCCTTGCTGCCGTGGCATTCTCAGCGTCTTTGCCCTCTTAATCGCATGTTGCACGCAGATGAGCAGTGTTTCTGTGGTTTGGTGTGGCCGAGTGGCCAAGTGATAGACCGAAGAGGTCGCCGTTGCCCCGGTCCCTGGATCCAGCGAGATGTGGCTGGCGACCACCACCATGATGTGGTTGGACAAAGACCAAGCATGGTGCACAGCGGCATGTGCTTTCAGAGCTTAGCCCTGCGCGTTTAGACTAGACTAGACACGCAGTGTGAAATCGCACCGGCAGCTGCGGGTCAGACGGAAACCTCGCCCAGAGCACCCGCCGTGGCAGGCAACATGTGGTGTACGAGCATCCTCGAGACGTGGACACCGACACCATCTTGGATCAGTTTCAGTGCCGATCGAGCAAGGCCTTGTTGAGCTCTCAGCGTAGGCGGCCCTTTAGTCTGTCTATTCCTACCTGCTTGGCCTTTCGCGGCGTCAGCCACCGGCAATCACCGGCAAAGAGAGTAATGTGCTCTCACAAACGAATCTCACCGCACGGCACAATATTACAGCCGCAGTCAACAGGCTAGCTACAACTAGCTAAGTCGCAGAAGGCGGAGTCACCTGGCAACTTGATCCATCCAATCGCTGGCACAGCATGTGATGACTAGACACGAGAGGTGCCAAGGCCACTGATCTGCTAATGAAATTGTAACGGAGATCCCGTGGGCTTGGGCTCATGGCTCACTTCCGTCAGCCTCGATGAGCTCACGGCCCGAGGCAGGTTCAGTTTCGTTTGACTTGTGCTTTTCAGTTCACATCCTGCAGGCCAAGGCTAATGGCAGGCCGCCGCTGCATGCTTGTGTTCAGTCTGAGAAGTCAGTAATTTTGTGCAGGTCTTTTTAGAACATCAGCCCGAGTCACCGTTGCCAATGGAGGACACGCAAGAAGCAGCGGTTTTATCCGCTGGCCCCAGAGCCAAAGGCTCACTGACGGCATTGTTTAGCCGGTGGCTGGACAGTGTGATGTGATTGGATGGACCTATGGCAGGCCAAACGAGCCCGACCCGAGAATCCATCGTGCGGACACACAGCTTTGAGATTACTGTTTTCAGGCTCCAGACGAGCTCCGGTTCTTCGCTTGTCTTCGCTTGTGTTGCTCCAAGGTTGGGCCTGGAGGCACTTCTGGCTGGGCCGTCTTGCTGGACCTCCGATGCCGCAGAGGCGAGGCAGGCCGCCGCAGCGCGCTGCACCGGACAACGCTGACCGCCAGGCTTTGGTGGCCTTCGGCCAGATGGCCAGCTTGGCCATCGAAGAGGTCCCCAATCTGCAGGAGATGTGGACCGCCTTGGAGGCACCTGGAACGTAACAACTTGATGAATCCCCCCAAATCCTGCCGTAGCTGGGCACGAGCGCATGCAGGCTGTGGGCAGCAGCCTCTCCTCTGATGCCGGTGAAGCAGCGCTGAGGCGTCTGCCGGATCTGTGTGGGAACCCGGATCCATCTGGACCCACTCGTCACTTCTGCACTCTGCGTCTTTGGATCGGCACCCGAGGCTGGGTGCTGCTGCTGTGGACGGCGCCAGCGAGGGCTTGCGCTCGCACTTGGAGAAAGGGGGAGCCATCGAGGCGAACGCCACGGGATCAGAGGTGTCGAGTAGAAAAGAAGCGGGTTGCAGCCCTTTGAGGCCTTGCCACTTCCCACCCGGGCACAGGCACTGAGAGTCAGGAATCCACAGGAGAGTGCGAATCGTGAGTCTGTTGCAGGGCAACGGCTCGACATCCTCCGAGGACCGCTGGGCCGGTAATGAGCCGGTCGTGGGCGGGTACGAGATGCTGTGTTCCACCCTTTGCTGCCTTTGCTGCCTTGCTGCAGGCGTTCCGATGGCTCCATGAACGTGTTGAAGCCGAAACCTCGCATCTGAGCTTCTCTTGGACGCTTGGCGGGGCGACGCATTGAGCGAGGCCGAGCTGGACGCCGCCATCCAAGGAAAGCGAGACATTCCGTCCCTCCAGTGGCTAAGCACTCAGCTTCGCTGTGGATGGCGGCACGCAGAGAGTGCTGGCCTCTGATGGCGGCTTCCTGAGGTTGGCAACCGTGGCGATGTTCTACGGCCGGCTGCGGCCAGGGCCGCCTTTGCCGCGCAATGTCTTGGAGGCCGCGGCCAAGGCGGAAAACGCGTAGCTTCTTCGATCGTCCGGCAGGACTCCGCAGACCTGGCCTTGAAAGCCGTCGAGACGTCCGTCTTGGAGGTGCCGGGGCGCAGCCCAGAAGCCATTCTTGGAGTCGCAAGTGCTCCGAGCTGCCATCGCAAGTGGAGAAGCAGATGAACTGCGAGTCTTGTGCCGAAGCCTTCTGGGATCTCTAGCTGGGCAGCCTCGCAGTCAGCTTAATCGCCCGTCAGCAGTTCTCATGCGATGTCGGAGTCGGAGTCGTGAGCACGTGAGCACCTAACGCTACTGCATCTTGCTGCAGCTCCGAAGCGCTTGGCGGCCATGGCTTCCTGGGTGAGCTGTGCAGGGCACGCCTATGGCCAGAGCCGCAAAATCAAGGTACACTTACCAAGCTTAAGACCTACACAAGTACTGGTATCCCTTGTCGCAGTGCCCGCATCTGTTGATGTCTCTCGTTTAAATGGCAAGCCTCGTGCTGTTCAGGCCTCTGGATGCTGGCCAACTGCTTTTGCGGAAGATCCAGAGTGGCCAGGCCAGCCCGGAGCTGCTGGCAGGCGGGGCGGCGATGAGTGGGACAGGCGCAGTGGGAGCTTTCGGAGCTTTCAGGAGTCGCAGGTGCACTCCATGGTCCGACACCAATTCTCACCGGAGACAAGGAGCGCACGGTTCTTTTACGAGGACAGGGAGCCAGGGAGGGTCGGCGCATGTCGGGTTGGTCTCGATGGCGGCTAAATATCGGGTCTACTTTCGGATTCCGCGAGCTGTGGGAGGTCTGGCGAACGCGGTGCAATGGCAGCTGGCGGTTTCTTTGCTTCGCTCTGCTCAGCCCCTTGGCGTCTCGCAGGTGTGTCAGGTTCTCCTCGACGTGTCTTGCTGTCTTGTTGGGTTCCTGTTTCCGCACGATCTCAATCAAGAAGTATTTCATGTTTTCTCGAGGACCCAAAGACTGGACAGCGCCAATGTGGTGCACTGCAACACGGTGCTGAGCGCATGCCAGAAGGCGTTGTGGCCGGTTGGACACCAGTTACTTCACACCGCCACGGAAAAGACGCTCGCCTGCATCTTGGTATGCGAGTTCCCACTTCGAGAGTGTGCCGTGCTGTAGATGAGGAAGCTGCAGCCTGACACCATCAGCAACCAGGTTGCTGATTTTGACTTGTCCTGTTTCGCCTGAGCTCGGGGTTCGGCCTTCGCCGGGCCCTGAGTCCGAGGCTTCAACACGCTCATGGCATCCGAGAGCTGGCTCTGTGCCCTTGGCGGGCTCCTGCAGTTGGCAAACGAAGGCATTACGATGGACCTCATCAGCTGCAACACTGCCTTGAGCAGCTGTGAAAGATGTAGCAGGCCGCAGCCATGGGGTGCCATTTCTCGAGATGACTGGTAGCTTGGGAAGCGTGATCGTAGCCTTTGCTTTTGTGGGGCATTGTCTAGAGTGCCAGGTGGAAAGAAGCGGTGCACGTCTTTGAAGAGAACGATTCTTTCTCCGGGGGCAGTCTAACCTTCGACATCATCACTTTCAGCACTCTCATCAGTGCCTCGCATGGAAGTGGGTGGCCTTTTATGCATGCGTCAAGTTGGGCTCAGCCAACGCTTTCAAGGGAAGCTCGACGGATCATAACGGATCGCAAGCCTACTCACCGGGGCATCTTAAAGTGTCCGATCGAAAGTCTCCGTGAGGCTCCTGGGACGAATCTGGTCACTGGCAGCAAGCACTGCAGCTTTTGGATGCTTGGAAACGACGAGGGGCCAGTTCCGAGACAGCCCCGAAAGATGCTTCGAAGCCTTCCCAAAAAGACCCCCTGTCGCCAGATTTCGGGCATGTGCAGGTCTCTCCCCTTAAACCTTTTTTTTGCGTGTCGCACACCAAGGAAGATCTTCCTTCGAGAAGCTTGCGGCTGGATCTCACAGCCCTGAACGCCGCGCTTGGATCCAGCGCTTGGGTCGTTGCGGTGGAGATCCTTCAGAGCTCAGGCAGCGGCCTGGGCTGTCGTGGTGCACAGACCTGCGGCACGGTCTGCAGCTGCTTGTTTTTCGTTTCTTGTCTTAGGTCAGGCAGCGCTGCAGACCGATGAAATCTCATGCAACTCAGTGACGAGCTGTTGCGAGAAGGCCTGGTCGTATCTATATATATATATGCTAACCCCCCCC